TTAATTATAATAGTTTTTTTTTCAATGAACGATTCACACATCATTACAATCTTTATCTATAATAATATTTAATTTGACAAAATGAATATACGTAAAATTTTAAAATTTTATTATAAATTTTTACATATATGTTATAAATTTTGTATCTTTTCTATAAAAAAATTGAATTATTTGATTACAAAATATCTAAAAATTTATTAAAATCTCTTTTTTTGCTCTCTTATATAATGCAGTAACATTTCAAAAGCAATTTAAAATATTTATTTAAAAAATATGTACTTTTGTCCACGTTGTAAGTTATAAATTTCTTGTTTTTAATTATATTTTTAACATATTTAGAAAAAAATAATTTTATTAATTAACAGATCTAATTAATTAAATTAAAAACTATCACAATTACATAAAAAGTTTACGTATATAATTTGATTGTACCTTACTTTTATTTATTATTGAAAAATCTTGCTTATAAGTATAAATTTAGAAAAAAATATTAATATTTAATAAAACAATCTTTAATATTTTGAAGTTATATTTGTTTGTATTTGTAATTTCTTTACTTAAGTCTATCTTAGTATTGGGGAATTTTTGTTATTTTTTCAAATTAATTGGGAATAAATGTAGTCTATAAAGATAATTTGTATACCTGACTGAAAAATCTTTAGTATTGACAGAAATATTGTCGTGTCCCGGGATTAAGAAATACTTGGATACCGTAGTTTTGTCGTTGCGGAGTCTTAGAGAGGTTTTTGAATATTAAATGCAATATCCCTTATTAGTTTTATTATACACATCAGAGTGTTTATTGAGAAGTCAATTATACAATAGTTGATCTCATGGATTATTAACTAAGAGTTACATTCTCCTCTTAAGTTAGTATTTATGAAGTAAGTGCTCTTCCTTGGACTCTCCATGTAAGACCAACTTCTCAGTTCGACAACTTAGCTAAGACTTCCTCTCAGTTCAATCCCCTGACTAAGACTAAATTATATAATACAAAAATGTGTTCATTTCAAAAAGGGGCTGCGTGGGAGAAAAAGGTTTTGACTTTGTGGAAAGTACAACCGTTTCTTTATCTAAGTTTTATGATCCTGCTCAAATATTTAGGGGCTGAAGAAGATTTAATGTGTAACATTCCACAAGTTCTTCTAAATAATCACGTACAAGTATCCGTTTGTATATTTGATGGATACGTGAAATATGCTTTGTAATAATTAAGAGGAAAGTAGACCTAACAAATATACATATTAGTTATAATTAGTGATAATGAAACTATGAAATTAATACATTTCAAATTGAAAGTAATTCTTTCCTACTTAATATCTGCAATTTTATTGTAACACAAAGTTGTGTATGATAATGATTATGAAAATTGAAAATGCATTTGTTCTGTAAGTATGGTGGACAATCAAAGCTGAAACGTTTCGGTTGACGTTGTGTTTGCACTGCTTACATTTATTGGGTAAATAGAGGAATGCGATAGACGTGGATTTGAGAACAATTTCATTTCTTAGGATCACGCTGCGGTTGTGTATGTGAACGTATATATAAATGTGTTTCCCTTGATAAAATAAAGCAATGAAATTTGGAGAGGAGAAACTGCAAAGTATTACATGGAACGCCACTATTCCAGATTGTGCGATCGACTTTACCGATGATGCACTTCTGATCTCTTCGGCTTCGCTCGCTTCCCAACTTATTTAACTTGCCAACTTGTTTGATCATCGTCTGCGGATTAGTTGTTGTACATCGAGACGATTTCCGTCAACCGTAAATAACATTCCGAAGAAAAATCTGAAGCATTGCAACTAGTTATAAACACAGATTGGTTTTCGGATTTTAAGATTGAACGTGTATTTTTATTTTTTTTGTTGTTATTAAATGTATCTGCGGTTCGGATTTTAATGCTGATGGATGCAAGTTAATTTTTGTTCGTTTCCTTTTGAGTGGAATACAGTTTGAAATCATCTGGACGGAAGTGGATCGATGGCGGCTGCGGTTGTGTGTCCATTAGGTCCGGTCCGGCTTTCGGACTCCTCTGGTCCGCCACCCCACAGGAGAGAGAGGCGGTAGTGATGAGGGTGCGGGCAAGGACCAGGAAGGACGAGGACCAGAACTCGGAAGCACAACCGGCCGACCGCAGGACTTGGTCATCCTTTCGACCGAAAGTTGCTTTTAAGCTAAGCGCCCCTCCGGAACAGCGAAAGGAAAGGGAAGAGACGGGCTACGTCCATATCCATGAGTGGAGAGTCCAGTAACCTTATCTCGGACAGCCGTGCTGTCCGCCTTCCACTCCTAATCATCCATGCTCCATTAATTATGTTAATTACTGCGTCCTACTTTATTAAATACATCGTGTTCACTGACCACCAGAGGATCCCGTCCACTCCTCCCCGAAGTACCATTACATTCCCAAAATCGCACTCCGCTCTACTAAATAGTAAAACCAATCCCTAATCCAATCTTCCATTATCCTCACCACTTATTTGTTTTCCGCATTATTTATCATCCCATTCTTCGATCCATTTTAATCCTCATACCATTAACATTTAACATCGCAATAAATTTATTTAATTGCATCATATTTTACATAGATTTAGATTAAACATACAAAACATTACTTTATAAGAAACTATTATTTATAAGTGAACTTATTTTCGCCCCAATTAATCCATTACCAGTGAAATATCATGATTAACAATTACAATTTGTGAGAACATAAATAAATGTTTTCATTAGTGAATTATATAAGAAAATGATTTTCTTGAGTTTATAAAAAAAAATGTGTTAAGGTTCATCGTTATATCATTATTAAATGTAATCAAGACTAATATGCTAAGTAGAGGAAAATCTTTACAAAACATGTTGTCTTCATCTTCATCATCATCAATTTTCCGGAAGTCTTCACAGTATTAAGTCAGCACCCGTCTATGTACGTAATAATTTCCTGCGTTTATATCAAAACTCGTTTATACACGAAATACTTTCAAAAGGTGTATAGGCTCAACTTTCCATATTCTCATTATAATTAATTATAACTCGAGATACTTCATAACACAAATTTCAAAAAACCATTAGTCTAATGACCGAACTTCTTGAGCCATCTTCCAACAAACATATTACATTGCAAAATCTCTGCAATTCTTATATAATCCAAGTGTTAATTTAAGTAAATAAAGTCTTAGGAAATTTATCTATTTTTTTTATTAGTAAATTTTATAAATTAAATTTACTCAAGACTTATGTAATATTGAAAAGTTAAACAATTTTAAAAGGTGATTATTGGTCAATAAAATTATTTATTTATGTAATATTGAATAGTTAAGAAATTTGAACTGATTGAAATAAATTATATAATATTGAACAGTTAAGCAATTTGATTGGGTGATCGAAATTTTAGATTAATGATAGACTAATACAATATTAGTAGTTAGCTGAGCTAATTTATTGCTGTTATATAATTAATTTTTATTTCAATTTGTAGATATACTTTTGTTCTTTCCTTGTTCATTTTGTTGTTGGGATTTCGATCAAATAATGCTTTTTTGCCTCTGGTTTCGCTGCAAGTTTATTGACAATAATCAAAGTTGGTTTGGATGAATGCATCGCATGAATTCACGACCACCCACGTACAGAAGAGCTTCCATTGTGCAGCGTCAAATCTAATATTAATTTAATTAAGTCTGCAAAACATGTGAGAACTTTCAACGGCGAAGCTTTGAATCTAACGAATCTTTTGTATTTGCAGGTGGGTTTTGTCTTTGGTACACGCTGTGTCTGCTGTCTGTATGTGAGTATGTTTCATTTGTAAGTCAATATCGCGAGCGAGCACCGCAGGGGTGTTTCCCCATATTGTTTTTCTCAATGCAAACGACACACAAGGCCGAAATATACATATACACACACTTATGCGCGTTTTCATCCGCCTCGCGTTTTCATTTCGTTTCAAATTTTCTTCAAATCTAAAAACATTGATTTACTACCTTTTAACATACCATGCAGCAACACAAAGTGAGGCGTATTGTTACGTTTCAGATTTGCATTTCCTTTTTCTATTTTTGTTTGTGTGTTTCTACCTTGCGGCGTCGCGACGCACACGTCGTTCAATATTGAATTAAGCCGATGCAAAGGGAGTAATTAGTATTTGCCTAACATGCGGATTGCCGAAGTTATAATTAGGTTTTCATTGAAATCCTATAGCGGTGATGGGCTGTGCGCGCACTCTCCCCTCAGCATTTGTTAAACCGCACAGAGCGTCGAGCGTATTAACAAATATTTAATTTAACTTCGAAACTTCGCCCTAATAATAAGGCCTCGTCTTCATAATAAAACCGTGCGATTTCGGCTACATTCTCTTCAACAATACGATAATAGTCTGCTCTAATTTCACTTACATTTATGAAGAGCAATGGAAATACACTTCAACAATGAATGAATATTAGATTCCGAATTATTATTCTTCATTACAATTAAACAAAGAATATAAAATTTCTATTGAATTCATAATAATACAATACTAATTATTATATAATTGGAAAATTATCAAAGAAAAAAAATTGTTTTAAAAAAAATAATTAAAAATTTAATACAAAATAAGTAAATAACTGTTTTTGTAATCAAAGTTTAAAATTATATTGGTTAACCCACAAAATCTGTTAAAAGTCAATGTCTGTTCGAACATTACGTGGGGTCTAACAAAAGTTCGCTTAGTTGGCTGAAAAAAAAATTATTTTAATATATTTAATTTTTATTCTTTAGTAATTTCTCAACATAATTTCCATTTATTTCAATACATTTAAGAAAGGTGACACTTGCAAAACATTCCTCAAAATCGGCTTTTTGTAGCTTTTCAAGTTCAACATTAACTGCATTAACCATCTCCTCATTCGAACTGAGGACTCTTCACCTCAATTCCCACAAAAAGTAGCGACAAAGTTCCCCTTTTTTCTAGTTTTCCAACAAATTTTTGAAAAGCAAGTTTCTGTATACAACTTAGCAGTTACCGTCTGTCCAGTTTGCATTGGGATAGCAGCCATGGTAAAGTAAATTGACACCATCACTTTTGTTGCTGATTTTTGTGTTCTTGATTTAACTGGGAGATTTGCACCTTCTGCGCTCCATACTATGGACTGCTGTTTGGTTTCCGGATCGTACTTATAGAACCAAGATTCATCACCTGTTACTATTTTCCTAAAGGTGCTAGACTTTCCATTTTCAAATTTTTCTAAAAAATATTGGGCAAAACGAAGACGTGCCTTTTTTCGGTCGTCATTTAAAATTCGTTGAACCCATCGTTCGGATTTCTTCGTGTAGCCCAAGTGATGACTTAATATTCTCGACATAGCCATAGCATTCAAGCCCAGTTCATTACCTACCATTTCCTGTGTCATTCTTAGATCTTCGTCAATTTTTGCCTTCACCAGGGCTAAATTTTTATCATTTTCTTCAACAGAAAAATGTCCGGTTTGGAATGTTCGAAACCACTTGGAAATGGTCATAAGGGATGATGCATTCACTTCATATGCATTTTGGAATTCCTCGAAAATTTGCATAGGCTTCAATTAACGTCGAAATCCGAAGAAGTAAGCAAAACTAGTATTTTGTTTTCTCGTATCCATTCTTACCGATCTTCTTGAAATTTGACATGAAATATCCTTAGACTTTAACTTTTTTGAGAAACAACTTTTGTTTTTCAGAAACAAATTTATTAATGTTTGTTTCGGTTCGAATCAAAATCCAACAATCGAATTCCTGACAACTAAAATACCAACAGTATTGTTTCATATTTGATATAGACGTAAAACAAATGAATTTAAAAATTGAACGTTAGTAAAACTTACTACGTTAGTAAAACCTGTGTTTTATCGAAACCGTGTATAATACATATGCTAAATTAAGAGTATTTAGTTAATTAAATCTCATCAAGATTTGCATACTGTCGGGATTTTGTTACAGTTGGGAATTCCAATGTCGGGATTATGGTTGTCGAGATTTGCACTATGTCGGGATTTCGAATGTAGGGAATTTAGACAAGCAAAATCCCGACAATCTTCAATTCTTTGCGAGAGTGTCCTTTAACTCATATATAAAAAATCCAATTTATTGAAAATAATTTTCAATTTCTTTTTTATTTGCTTCTATTATTATTGTTGTTGTTATTTATGTAATGAATATCGTTGAATATTAAGATTTCATTGAATATGTTTGTTATCGGATGACTTTGAAAGTCCATCAATTTAATTGGCAAGTTGAAGCCGAATCCTGATTGAATTTCTGAAGGTTCGGGTGTCTGAGCTGTAGGTGATATTAACCCAAGGCCCCTTCATAATATCGGGTAAAATTATAAACCAATATTATGTTTCAATCGGCATTTCCGGGGAAATTGAGATTCCGGTGGCGGCGGCGGCGAGTCTCGCGTCTTAAAAGAGGGGAATCCCTCAACCCTCAATGTTCAATAAGCTCCGGCATATTCATGCGACCCATGACCATGTCCCATCGGGAAATTAATTCCAACCTCGTGAGCAAATTATTAACTAGATATTCGTAGAGCGAACTAGGATGGAAACTACAGACTATTGAAACGAAAGAGAAAAAGAGAAAGAAATGAACAGTTACAATAAATTTCCGTGTCAAGGGGCAAAAGTAATGATCCAATTACAAATTCAAATAGTTCGAAAAAAAAAGTTACTTCGACTCCAATTTGCGCCCGCACACAGGTCAATTCGGCGGAGCATTTATTTAATTCGCTCCCCTTTTTCGAAGCTGCTGGAGCAGGCGTAGAAGATGGGTTGAAAAGTGGGAAAGGAAAGGCTCTTTCGGATGCCAAACGAAAAGAAATATTATCCATTTAAACTAATATTTATTTGAAAATTTTTACGGTGGAAATACGGATTCAGTGCGATTTTCTCCTATTACTACCTTTAATAATCCTGCTTTCCGGGATGCGGATAATCAATTAATTTACGCTCTTCCGAAGGGTTTCACTAACTGGTTTATTTGCGCAAAGCAAATCGCTAATGCGTCCAGTCTGCAATTGGCGCAAATTGTTGTTGTTTCCGTGCTTAAAACCCATAACAATCCAATCGGACATTTTACCAAATAATTTAATACAACTTTTTACATGCTACGATTAACACATTTCAAAACTCACATAATTAATGTAATTAATTAGTAAATATATACATTTACCAGTTAATGTAAAAATATGACAATTTATTTAAAATAAATAGTTTAATGAATTAATGATTATTAATGAATTTAAAAGTAAAATTTGCCAGTAAATGTAATAAGATAATTTGTTAAGATTTTTTTTTTAAAGCTTTCAAATTATTGTTATTACAACGCTTTTGAAACAGAGAAACGACGTTTTCTTTTCAGTTTTTCGTGAATTTCTCAATAACCCATTACCATAATTACATCACCGACCACTCGTATGAAAGCTGAATGTCTCACTTTTCAAATGAGCCTACTTAAATCTTTGTATTTCCATCCAGTCGCCTGCTAGAATTTGGAAAAAAAAAGTGAATAGGACTTACCAAAAAAATGGATTTTCGTTAATAACTCAAAAATTAATTAACTTTTTTATGATTTTATGGCATAATCAAATACACGCAAGCGTTGCGCAATTTGTTATGTAACGAAAGTTACATAATATTCGTTACGTAACAGAGAAACGACGTTTTTTTATCTATTTTTTTTTCAGTTTTTTGTGAATTTATCAGCCAACTGGCATCTTTGTACTGCCGCCGACTTGCCTGCTATGAGTTGTAGAAATTGAAAAAAAAACAGAGAAAGGTCGTTTTTTTTAAGTTTTTCGTGAATTTCTCGACATATCCCTTAAGATAATAACATCATCGACCACTCTTATAAAAGCTGAATGTTTCATCTTTCCAATGAGCATACTGGAATTTTCGTACTGCCGCCGAGTCGCCTGCTATTAGCTGTAGAAATTGGAAAAAAAGTGAATAATGATAAAATTAATTATTAATTATTTAGTTTCTAATGCAAAAAAAACTGTTTTTTATATAGTTTGTTGTATTACCAAACTATTATATTTATTAAAAAAAGTTTTACCCATACTTCCATAAATTATATTTATATTAAAATAGTTCATTACAATTTATTATATAATATATTACAGTTGGCAAACTCGTATCAAACATAAATTTAATTCGATACAATCAAAAAGTTTGTAATATGCACAGTAACGCAACGTTTAATATAAACGGGTTTTCATCAATTACGAATTCGAAAATTAGTTGCTTCAAACTTTTCCTCTACTTTCCAAATGAAGTGCTCACAACAAGGGCGCGCTGCAAATGCATAGTTTTTGTTTTATTTTTTTAAATTATTGCGCGCACACATAGTTTTCGTTTAAAACAAAAATTGAAAGGAAAAAAAAAGAAGTTTGTAATAAGCAATCTGCAATTCATGCCGTTTAATATAAACTCGCGCGTTAAATGCCGCCACTAATTGAATTACGCGCGCGAAAAATGGACGTGAAAAAAGTGCACATTAAAACAAAAAAAAAGAGTAACAGCACAAAAAGAGTTTTATTTTAATTTAAAACTCCCCTCCACCCCGCGCGTCGCATCCAATACGTGACGCGCCGAATGTTTATGAAACTGCGTTCGTTTCCGGTTTAATTTCTGTTTGTACTTTGTGTGTTTTTTTTTCAGTTTCGCTCCATTTTAATTAAAAATACCGGAAGTAAATTTTGCACAAAGTGTATAAATTTTGGATCTGGTAATTTTCGTAGGTTAGTTAAAGCTGCTTTGTTAATTGGGAATTTGATCTTTAATTTGATAACTTGGTTATATTTATTGTTGAAATAACCGGATGTAAATTTTGTGAATTTTTTTTAAGTTTGTTAATGTTATTGCTCTTTTATTTCATTCAGGAAGAAAATTTTGTAAAAATTTGGTAAAACAACGCACGTTTTTTTTGTCAACTATTCATTGATATTTGACAACTTATGTTTTTATTAGAAAAAAATTAAAGTAAATTTTGTAAAAATTTGATAAATTTAGAATTTGAACATTTTCATATATTTGTAAAAAAACGCACGTTTTTCCTTTGTCATCTTTTCGTTGATATTTGACAACTTGTTATTTTTACGTTTTTAAAACAACTCACGTTTTCTTTGGTAACTTTTCATTGATATTTGACAACTTGCTATGTTTTTATTAGAAAAAAACTAAAGTAAATTTTTGTAAAAATTGGATAAATTTAGAATTCGAAAATGTTCATAGTTCGTAAACGCATGTCTTTTTTTATTGTCAACTTTTTCATTGATATTAAACAATTTGTTACGTTTTTATTAGAAAAAAAACTAAAGTAAATTTTGGATAAATTTAGAATTTGGAAATTTTCATAAAAATTTCTGCACGTTTTTTGGTAACTTATACAACTATTTCAGTGATGAGCATCATCACTTAAAATTGTGTACATTTTGATTGTTTTCCAAAATTTGAGATTTTCTTGTGTATTAATTTTAGATTTCAAAATTTTAATTTAATTGAACAGAAGAAAATATAAATTTTGATTTGTTTCTTACATTAATAGTTTGTATTACATTTGGATGCCTATTTCATAAGGTAAAAATCTAAGCGAATTTAGTTTATAACAAACAATTTGAATAGTAATGAGTTTATCATTTAAATTATGCAATTATATAATATCAGAGTATTAAAATAAAAATTGTTGTAATTCGATTTTCATCTTGAGGTGTGACTGAATTCACTAAAGGAATGGGAACAGTTGTGGGGCTGCCACCCCCCGATTTTATCGTTACGCTGGTTAAGACGAGGCCGTCGAACCGACGAACTTTATGGCCTCACCGTCATAAACACATGGCTTAGAACTGTTACACGGAAAGCTCAATGCCGGGACGTAATTTCTATTCAATCTAGGGCTTTCAAATATCTCTAGATTTTATGCCGCCCCCCTTGTCACCAAATTTCCGGTCCAGAGCCAAAACTTGACGTAAATCCAAAATCCGCCCCCTAAAGACGTAATAATAATATAAAAGAGAATTTATAAATAATTTATTAAATAAAAATCTTGAATTTTACACAAAATCATCATTTTCTGAGATAAACTTTGAAATATTGTATTAACAATTTTTTTAATGCAGAAAATTTTTATAGAATATTAAATTCTATAAACTTTTCGTGAAACAAAAACATACAACTGCACGAGGATAGTTGAATTTTCATGTGCACTGCATATTCTGAAATCCTAAAAATAAATATTTAGAAAACTCGAGCCTCGAGCTTTGAGCTTTTCCTCGTTCGCTCAGCATTTGGTATATATATATATATTTTTTCATCTTCGTGCTTTTCTTCTTTTATCCGGGCTCACCCTCTTCTCTTGGAGGGTTAATCCGGGC